TAATAGCTAAATCCCACTCCAATTATAGCCTGGATGCAGGAGCAGATCAGCATGAATCAAAGAGGCCCATCTCACTACTGTGCAAGACCCACGTTTGCAGCGCTGCTGATTTAGCCCACCTGAAGACAGTTGAACCATTCCTGCTTCTCATTCTCAATTGAAAAACATGTTGCAGATACATTTACAGTTTGAAGTAAAATGCATTCCGTAAGAGGGGAGGTCAGGTCAAGTTGCTTTCCAGCTTTTGCTGTTCCTACGTCTCATTTGTGCATTTTGCTGCCGAAACCTGAAAAGGAAGTCTAGCCACACTTCATCATAGTCAAATTGTATCCCTATTACGCCTGCAGAAAGAACAGGCACAGTTGGCTTGCCTGTCAAGGAATTTCCATAGGGCTCGGTCACCAGTCAACTCGAAATATCGCTCTTCTAAGCAGAGAGTTGGCTACAAGCTAGTGTGAGAATTCGGCAGCACTGCAGGTGCGCTTGGTTCTGGAGAAAACGAAGAGGGGGAACCACTAAATGCGTATGTGAAGCCTAGCAGGTTGTGGGGGTTTCAACTGCTTCAGTGTGTCCTAAAGTAATAGCAGATGGGCTGGTTTCGTAGGGAGGGAGAGGAAAAGTACAGACAGTTGTACATTTTCAAGAATTGACAAAACGCCAGGTTGTTAATGAGTTCCATTGCGCTGACCCGCGGGCGGCATTATCTAGCAGAGTGTGTCCATCAGCAGCCTGAGCGTCAGCAGCAGCAGCAGCAGCAGCAGCAAATCCAGCCTTCCGTGTGATTTGTTTTACATTAAAATAAGTCATGCATTGAAGGAAAGTCTTGCAAAAGTGCAACTATAAGAAACAATGTTTTACCACGACGTACGATCAGTGATAATCCGCTGGTGATCCGCTGGCGTGGTGCTTTGCTTCGCAGTGCTTTTACTAATTTTTTTGTTGCTGTTACCGCCGCTGTCGGTGCGTGTGCCATGGACTTTTTTTTGATTAATTGGCCATGACGGGTGACTTGCTATGTCTAGAGAACATGTTAACGTAGCAACAGCATGATTGCAAGTGTAGGGGAAAACCCACGGGATGATCACATATTCATTGACGTACTTACTACTGCGTTGAATTGCAGTGGACATATAATTGGTAAAATGCTCTGACAAAGACTTTTGGGGGGGCCTTCCAAGTTGTCGGAGCACACAGGCAGCTCCACCACGTCCCCAGTAAAGCCAGCACTTAGTTGTTGCTTCGCAGAATCAACGAGCCTCAGAGCATCAAGAGTGTTCATTTGGGATAAGGAATGAAGACATTCGAGCCTTCTCTGGCACACGCTATGCAAGGAAAAAGAAAGTATATGAAATATCAATGGGTTTCTATCTCTAATAGTTTAGCACTGCATCTGCAGCACCTTATATAAAAACGCCCCCTGTAGTTCTTTTATATAAATTGGAGAAAGCGTGGCGTTATTGTTTGCATGGTGCCACAGATGCATCAGAATATTATAGCTCTCTCCTGTATTGGGCAAGGCAAGCTCTTTACTAGCAAATATGACTGAAGAAATGTACAGACAAGCTCTCCACTATGCTTTCAATCCAGACTTCTCCATCTAAATTTGCAAATCAAACGTAAGCTGTGTAAGCACTTGATAAAAGTGTATGCGATTCGATGGATCTGCAAGTTACAAAAAGGGCGCCTTGGTTTTTCTTCAGGATACCAGTTTATGGTGCCGTGCTGAAGGGCAGTTAGTATGACAGGCAATTATCAGTTGAGTTAATCTGAAACTGGAAAGTGGTGTTCAAACGTTGCTGGCCTTTACGAGAGAACCAGTACCGGAGTACCAAATCGTGCACGTGTGCATGCCTTTTATGATTGGATGACGGACGCGCTGAAGTGCCCAGTTTGAACTGTGTACAGCAGATGCCTCTAAGCACTCAGTGTGAAAAGCAGTTGCTTTTTGTTGTGGTGGGTTCCCGTTTCGGCTCCCAAAGCTAAAAGACCAGCGTGTGGACTTCAGCAGCATGACACCTTCGTACGCTCTGCAGAGTCATTAGGCGTTTTTGGAAAGCTCTGGCAGTCTCCGTCAAAAAGAAAGTGCAGTCTGCTACCCTGCAAGCACAAGCGAGGTGACATGCAGCCCTGTCTTTAAACCAAATAGATTTCATTGATTTTGCTCTTGTTGACGCCAGCGGCAGATTGCCGAGCAAAAGCACCTCGTGTCAAAGAAGCACGTGTCGCGAAACGCGTCCCAGACCTTTACAAGAAAAGGCGGATGGCACGCGGCATTCGCACCTTTTCCGCATTTCTTACAGCACTGCTCCCTCAATCTGTCTAGACTAATTCCTGGTGAAGAAGTGTGCCCGCCGATTTCTTTGGAGCAAGCATTCATGTTTCCCATCTGCAAAACCGCACCAGAAGCGCATCCTCAGCTCTGCCCCTGTGTTGTGTATTTGCATTTTCGGCAGCACCACAGCTACAGCTCCGTGTAACAATGCCAGAGCTAGGCTTCGGCCAAACAGGATATGCTATAGGTAGAGTGTCCGCGCGTTGGCTCTGGTGCACATGAGAGACACTGCTGAGTGGATCCTTTCCACAGTCGTATCAGCCTCGGTTTGCGACCACAAGTGCACAAATACAGGCTTCTTGGTAAATCAGGGCCTGTAGAGGCCCACAAAGAGTGACAGCAACCTGAACTATGGAGCAGAAACCGCAGAGTTCAAGAGCCATAGACAGAGCTTGGAGGCCATTACATGCTATGGCGAGTTGGAGGCTCCCTGGAAGGCAATAAATTAGTGCACAGCGTGTCAATTAGACTGCTCAGTTCATAGGACTTCGAGTGGTTAGAAAGTCTCGGAAAGCGATAAATCCCTCTACAATACCCTAGGCTGGGGTATCAGGCTTCGCATTTGTTTAGCGGCTACCAGACTAGGCAGCCAGAATGCCAGTTCCTGAGGAGTGTTGTCAGAGTAATTACATCAAGGATACGCAAACAATCATTTCAATAGGCTTTTCCCGAGGCTAAACTTTGCTCGCTTGGCACTGATGCTCTCGGGCGCGACGATGTACTGCAGCATCCATTGTAATCAGCCACACCGAAGTCTTTAACTTTCTCCCAAGCAGTTCCACCTCTTGGTATAATCCATTCTACTCCAAAATGTGCGAGTTTTCTTTTGAGCTCAGTGTTTCCTAGGTTTCTCTGGAAACTCACTCATCAAAATGCATGCACGTTTCTGCCACGGCACAACAGCGACATGACGCTAAACATGCTACGCCAATGCCTGATTCGTAAATCTGGATATGCAACTAAGTCTTTAGCTGAAACTGCGCTGCGGTCCCGTAGTTCACAGCTGCATGCAGCCCGTCCCCAGATGCAGAACAGGTGCGGGGCCGTCATGGAATGCTACTGGAGGAGCCTTCCACATGGGACTGATACCCGGAACTATCCCATCGTGGCATCTCTGCTAACCAGAGATCAATTTCGCGGGTAAATTCTGCATAGTTAGGCTTGGAACTGCGCTACGTTCCCGCTCCTAGGGTATGCAGTTCCCGACGATCGCGAGGGGCCCTATGTGGGGAGGGGGGTCGAAAAAGAATACTGGCTTGCTGATGCACTGAGTAGTTAAGGACTCTTTTTCTATCGGTGGAAGTGGAAAAGAGCTATATACAGCTGGACCTGCGGCTGCCGAGGAGGCCACTGTGTTGCGCCGCACATGGGTTTCTGAGGAAGTGGAGCGTTTATGAATGAACTGCACTAGCTTCGTGCTGTTTGGCGTCAGAACAGAGAAGAATTAATAGTTTTGTTGCTAGGGAAGACACAGTTCAACTTGTTGTGCGCGTCACACCCGTTTGCAGTCGCAACACTCTGGTGCTCTGCTGTTGCAGATGGCTCCCGTTTCGACAGTGAAGCGCCGCATTGTCAAGAAGCGGACCAAGAGGTTCCCGCGTTTCCAGTCCGACAGATGGAAGCGCCTAAGTGTAAGTTGCGTGCTGTTGCTGCTGCTGTGGTTGCTGCTGCTTGGAACTTCAGGCTTGCACCGTGTTAGGGAGCAAGCACTCAAGTCTTGAACTCTAACTCTGGCAGTGTTTTGCTCTTCGTGCGATCTCCTGCAGCCCTCATGGAGAAAGCCCAAGGGTATTGACTGCCGCGTCCGCCGCAAGTTCAAGGGCACCAACCTCATGCCCAACATTGGCTATGGCTCCAACAAGAGGACCCGGCACATGCTGCGGAACGGCTTCTACAAGTTCCGCGTCGAGAGGCCCCAAGACATCGACATGCTGTTGATGCACAACACGAAGTTCGCTGCAGAAATTGCTTCCGGTGTTTCCTCCAGAAAAAGGCGCGAGATCGTCGAGCGGGCAGAACAACTTAACGTCCTTGTCCTGAACAAGTCCGCGCGCCTTAACACTGCTGAGGACGAGTAAACAAGCAGTTGAGGCGCACTTTGGTGGCTCGAGTTGGGGAGAAGATGGTTCCCCGCAGGCTCAGATAGTGGCAGCAAGGGAAATTTTCGAACTGCACTTTCCAGCCTTTGGTTTAAGATCTGATGGTTGTACTCGCCATTATAAAGTCATTCGACACTTCTTCGGCATAGATATCAGCTGATTACGAGATGACGTAGGGGTCGAAACAACAGTGGATATCCCAGTTTGAGTATGCAGCAGGCTTCAGCCTAGTGCAGCATGTGCGACATTTTACGCTTCTGCCCAGTGGTGTAGCTGTGTGGATACCAGCAACTCAGTATTTATCATTGCAGCTTCCTGTGTCAGGGTAGGCGGTTACAAGTGAAACTTAGAATGCATAGTTCAAAAGGTGGGGGTTGAAGACGCTTTCCACAATCGTAACAAGAGGACACGGCCTTGACGGGCAGACATGGAAATTTCAAGCCAATAAACGGGCCTGTGGCAAGACTCTGCTTTTTCTTGCTGCAAAGGAAAAGCAAATTGGGTGTCGCAACACTCGAGGACCTGCGGTCAGTGGTGTGAAAACGCGTTTCGTGAGCATTTCATGCAACATGGTGCCGCATCGCATGCTTTTCGGAAATATGCTCCGCGAAATCATTTTGTTTGGGATATATCTCGTCGGGGTGTGTGGCGATGAGAGCTGGTGCAAAGCGACGCCGCAGGCTGGACTTCCCGCCTATGGTCGTTGTCTTCCCGTGGACCAAGCAATGGCTCGTTATGTTGTGCAAGTGGCTCCTCTTGCTGCATTCGGGCTAGAGGTGAAGTATGTCGAACTTGTTTTCATTGGAGGTCTCCCTGTGCACTGATTTGATGCTCCAGAAGCGACGTCAAGATCATTTTGGAAGGTTCCAATGGCCGTCGCACGAAACCCATTTCAATTGCGTCTGTTACTAGGGGCACAAGCAAACAGTGAGGCACTTTGTTGCACGTGAGACTCGCCCGCTTGTGCAGCTCAGTTGCTTCGCTTAGGGTCACCGCAGAGCGCGTTGACGTGAGCAACCCCGAAGTCGTTCACGCCTACATCACCAGCCCTACTTCGTGGTCTTGCCGCCAACTGACTGTCTGGAAGGACTTTCGCTATTGGATTTTCGACTGTGGCGAGGCCTTGTCCCCCTTATCTCCCGAAGCAGTGAGGCTTGCACTTCTCCTGCATGCAAAGCTCGAGTGCGCATGATGACGCATGCAGTCTTTCACACTATCGGGGAGCAAAATTTATGAACTCTCGATTCTGACTGGAACGGACCTCAAGGGCAAGCCTCATACTGTCTGCTGCAGCAGCGCATGCGTTTTCCTTTCTAATGTTTTCCTGTGAAGGCGGAGTTCACCCGCGGGCCAGAATTTCTCTTATAGGTTCTTCGCGGAGCTCCGGCCCGAAAGTGTTGGAGGGAAGCTTTCCCCCTGGAAGCAACAGAGCCATCAGGCTGCAGGCTGCAGACGGTAAGGCCATCTGCAAGCGTAGTTGCATTTCAGAAGATCCTTTACTTTCGAGTCTTGCACAGTCGGCGAATTGCAGGCAATAGTCCTCAGCAACGACTCAGCAGCAGCCCCCTGGTTCTGCAAACATATCACAGTGCGCTCCGAAGGGAAAGCTGCCACTTTCAAAGTTGGGAAATGGGTCGGAGTGCCATATCCCTCTTCTGTGTACGTCCCGCGGTACCCAACTGGCTTGGAGTTGACGCCTCAAGACATAGACTGCCACACGCGGGCTGCAGACGTCTTCGAGGGGTATTCAGAAAGCAATTCCTAGCGAGGGAGCCGTTGAATTCACTTTTGCTGCCTTCAGACACCCAGGCGCAGCAGCAGCAGCAGCAAGAGTCCACTGCCCCACAAACTGCCAAGCCTCAGAATTTGCCCACACTCAAGGCGCCTCTCTTCACCCGGCTCTTTCTTCGATCTGCACTGCTGCAATTCTTGACGGCTTGCTGACGCCCTCTGGGGGCGATCTCGTGTTGACTGCAGTTGGACCAGTGGACCAGTACACTGGAACTGCTTACAATGGTAGACTTGCATTGATTTGAAGCAGCACACGGGGAATTCTGAACTCGGGTTTCCTGGCTGCAGGCATTGACTCTGTAGACTTCGCGTACTCCGTGGACAGAAAGCAATACAGCTTCCACATGTACCTTGTCGGTGAGTGACATTGTTGACAAAATGCAGCTTGGAAATTTTTTGCAAGTTTTTTTCAGATTCTGTTGATCTCATCGAGACATCGGTTCGCATCGTTGACGGTGAGCATTCTCGTTGTCGTTCCAAAAGCATGTAAAGGAAACTTGGAATTCAAAATCAGAATATGGCAAACTGTCGTCTGTTGGGCGGCTGGAAGTGAAGACTGGGGAAGTTTGGGGAAGTGTTTGGTGAGGGCGCATTTTCAGAGTCATCTGCAGCAGCGCCAACAGCAGCAACTTTTAGCAACAAAGGCGACTACCTTACGTTTGCGCCGCAGTCAGCAGTGAAAGCTTGCCAGGAATTCGGTAATCTGCACTGATTGCCAGAATGTAGTATGAGTTGAGCACGAGTGCCTCTTTCAGGCTTCAAAACGGGTGTTCAATTAGTAGAAGGCTGCAAAGACGTGGAGGGGGCGGTCTTGTGCGCAGATAAGGGTTATCCCGTGGCATCCACAGGTATGTTCTTTCATTCATAAAGCCAGTGGTTAGATCAAGAATTAGCTAATAATTTTCAGGCATTAGTGTAAGCAGTTTCTAGCTTCCGTTCAAGGCAACCACAGCGCATGCGTCGGTTTTAGTGCAAAGGAAATGAGGCAATGCTAGCCGACTGCCCAGCGGAGCCACCTACAGCAACATGTTTGAAACACGATGACGACGTTGTTGTGAAATGTACAAACAGGCTTTCTGGTGTGGCGCCAGAGCCAGGCACAATCCGCATTGTTGGTCCCACGGGCACACCTGCACAGTCGGGAATAGGACGACTTCAGTTTTACGAGAACGGTCTGTTTCTCCTTGTTGAAGAGCTATTGTTTTGCGAAAACAACTTGAAATACTTGCCCCAGGTTTCGGCAGTGTTTGTTCAGACGGCTGGTCTTTGCAGTCTGAGCAGGTTGCTTGTCGTCAGATGGGGTACAGCAATGTCAAGGTAGGCTGAGAAATCGTGCTCTGCACAAGAGCAGCATTGCATTCTGGCTTAAGGATAAGGGGCCTGGCAACGAAAGCTGTACAAGCATTATGGGGCAAAACTACTGTGGGACAGAGCGGGAAAAAATTGCCGCCGTCAACTTTGCGTGCACAGGTTTGCTCTGCACAGACTTGAGAGTTTTGGGCGGTTCCTTTTGAATTGAATTTTCAAATGCAGGCAGAGAGGCTTCTCTGAATCAGTGCCCCCACGCTGTGGGCGATGACATTTACTGCGTGCACGACGAAGACGTGGTGATTGCGTGTGAGGGGGATGGCGATCCCTCTGGTGTTGGAGCGTTTCACAAGGAAGAAGCCGCAGTTCAGAAGAAGCGGTTTCTGTCTCTGGTCCACCTCACCTGCTTTGACACTCTCGAGACAAAAAGTGGCCTGGCTGGGCCTCCGGGAACTATGCGGCTAGTTGTATGCCCTCCCAGCTGCGAGTAAGTGGAATGAATCCCAGCGAGCCCGAAAGCTTCGAAGTTGTCACTGGCTTCAGGTCTGCGGGAGGAGATTTGAAAGGAGCTTTTATATACACAGCCAGCTCTGCTGTAGGCCTATCTACTGGCGCACTTTCCTTAAGAAAACATGAAAACATGAAAACATGAAAACATGAATATTGTCTGTCAGGTGTGCCGAGCTGCTATTCACAGCGGCACTATCACGAAGGACGGCGGCGAATGCCTTCTTGTTGTTGGACATGGACAGCACCATTTTTCGAGCCTGGAAAGCCACGGCCTTCACAGCGAAGAGAACGGCCCCTACCCCCAATCTTGTAAGAGAAAGCTTTTGCATGATCTCCAAATTTTGCTTATCCTGTTTGAATGTGAATGTGAATTGAACTGCTCTTCAGTCACCACTGCGCGAGTGGATCATTCTGTCCACAGCCTCTTGGTCACGAGCCGGGGGCCCCCGCTACTTCAGACAGCATCGGGGCCAGGGGCCCCCCAGCAGCCAGCCACATTTGAGATTTCGCAAACAATGCCTGCTGCTGTTCAGTCTGCAGCTACGGGTACGCAGCAGCCAAGTGGTGGCGCTGCAGCAGCTGGCGTACCTGCTGCAGCAGCTTCTTCCGCAGCACCTGCTGCCTCTCCGTCTGGAGCTGCAGCTGCTGCACCTGCAGTTGCTGCTGGTAAAGCTACGGGAACCCCGCTGGCTGCTGCTGCCGGTGTTCAAGTGCAGCAGCAAGCTGCAGCAACGCAGAGTGCTGCTGCTGCCAAGCCAGCTGGCATCAGCGTCCACAGCCCACGCGGCAATTTCCTGCAGCGAAGAGGGCCCGCGAAACGCAGGGACTCAACTACTCTGCGAAGAGTCAATGCAACTTTGCACAACGACTGGGTTTCTTATGGAGGACTTTCCGGTTCAGAGCAGCAGTTTGTTGCAGGAAGCAGCAGCTCGAGGGCTCTTAGTGCGGGAGACCAGCTGTCTGCGAGCAGTGAGTCTCGGGAATATTTTCTGAACAAGAAATGCGTCATTTCCATTTTTTTGAACGAAACTGCAAACAGCAGCGCCGCCTGCAGGGCCATATAGCCGCATGATTGAACTGCACGCAACTCCGGCGTCCCAGCCCGAAGACATTTTCCACTGGTTTCCACCAGACGGCTTCAGAGGTGCGGCCCACAGGCTCTTCACCACAAGTCCATTTGCACAGACTCTTCAGGGTTTCACGGAAAGCCCTCGGACTTCGTGGATGTCTCCAGCCTCGCCGAGGGCAGCCTGGTCTCCACCATAAGGGACTTCACCGTCATAGTCCGCGCGGCAGTCACAGGCAAGTGGAGTTGCAAAGAAAAAAGTCTTTTTGCTGCTTATTGAATGTTAGGCGGACTCGGGCAGTGGCGGACGCTGCTGGCCCACAGCGACTGCGAAGGCTTCTCTCTTGTTGTCGATCCGAACGACGAGCTGATCTTCGAACAGACCTGCCACCCCTACCAAGTCAAGAGTGGCTTCAAGCCAAAGCTGGGCGGTGAGCAGCAAAGAGTGACAGCAGCAGCAGCAACTGGAATGCGAAAAGAAATTCAGAAAGATTCGACGCCGCCGCAACTTTCTCCACCACGAAGCGTCTAATTTGTGTTTTTGTGAACGGAAAGTCCGTGGCTTCCGAGAAGGCCGACTTCGACATCAACTTGAGGGTGAGCTGTCGATACACCCCAGCGCAGCCCGCGGAGCACACAGTTGCTGCAGGGCAAAATGATTATCGGGCGCGCCAGTGCGGCCGAAGCGGACTACTTTGAAGGAGATATTTTAGGAGTTAAACTCTTTAACCAAGAAGTTCCAATCGCCACAATACAGAAGGCCTTCAGCGCCGAGGCCCTCGCCGCTCACGTCCCAGAAGTGCCCAGCGAAAGCAGAAGGACAGATGACGGCAGATTGTGCCTTTCTGCCTGCTCCCCGCAGCGGCCTGCGTGGGCTGCTGCTGCTGCTGCTGCAGCAATCCCAGCAAAGCATGCAGTGTACCTCTCCTGCTCCGACTCTCTCCGCCGTCCCGAGTTCAACGGCCACATCGGGCAGAAAATCTTAGCCCACTGCCCCCCAGACTGCCTTCAGGGGATAGCGCCGCTGGAAGGCTGCAGATATTACACCTCGAAAAGCTCAGTTTGCAAGGCGGGGCTGCATGCAGGAGCCGTGCCAAAAGAAGGAGGAAACTTGCTAGTGACGCTGGCAGCAGGGCGTGCGTCGTATGACGCTTCACAAGGGCACTTCGGTGGGTGCAGATCTCCGCAGAGGGCATGCAGAGAGGGCTGTAGCGGCTTGCACTGTTGCGAGTGTTCATATAACACTACATAAGTTGTTTGTTTTCGAACGAAAGCACCTGCGCCTGCACGTGTCTGCTGTTTCAAGTGTACGTACACCGGAGTTCATGCACAAGCACACTTCAGGCATCAACAGCACGCCGAGTAGAAACCCGGAACTCCGCTCGTTCTCTGTTGAACCGGCGCCTCTTTTCCAAACTCTTGCATGCGACGCAAACGGAATCTTCACACTCAAGTTGGGACTCGGCGAACGCGAACTTGTATTATGTCCCGCTGGCTGCGCTGCCAGCACCAACGCCCACGTGTACGGAAGCGGTAAGCTGCAGCACTTGGCTGAAATTTTGAAACTATTTATCTTTTGATGACTTCTTTTCAGGTTTCTACAGTCCTATTTCATCAGTTTGTCGGGCGGCTATGCATGCAGGAGCACTGGTGAGAAACTACTCTGAATATTCAAGTTGCTGCAGAGTATGAGCTGGGCTGTCCAGACTAACGGCGGCGGAGAAGTTGAGTTGTTTGCCTCAGACGCAAGGCCAAAGTTTGCAGGCAGCGAAATGAATGGAATCAAATCCGAGTCCAGCGGAGGATATATCCGTTCTTTCGTGTTCGTCGTGGCATCTCCAGCCTCGAGCACCCGCAGCAGCAGCAGCTCGGGAACTGGCTAAAACGCGATGCATGCAAACATTTCTGAACTGGATCCACTGCAGCAAATTCGCAATTCTGACAGCCTCAGCTTTGCCCGCTGCACTGTACGTACAGCAGCAGCCCATTTCCAGCCAGTCCACTTAGGAGCAGCAGCACGGGCCTGCTGCAGCAGCAGCAGCTGCGCCAGCTGTAGATACACTTCACAACGGGTTCCCCCTCGATGTAAAAAACACTTCTGATCACTATTTAGCTTTTTTGTTGCTTCAACAGCGACGGCGCAGCTTCTTCAATGGGAAGCAAAATAGGCTTGCCTCTTTTTGAAACTTCTGAAAATTCTGAAATAAGACTAAGACAAGTACTGGTCCTTCATCTTGTCGTAGTGGTGTCTGTTCCAGCCGTCGCGGTACAAGTGCTCTGTCTGTACAGCAGCCCCACAACAGCCACAGCAAGCACAGCTCAGCTGTCGCGTTCTTCTCACTTAATGCAGTTAACGCAGCGAAAAGCCCATCACCATTCAACACTTTTCTTCACTGGATAGTGTCATTAAGGCTAGATAAATGCAAACTAACGGCAATTTAATGACTCTTGAAAGAAACTGACTCCTTATAACTGTCGGACTGCATCAAGTGATGCTGCAGTAGAAAGTGCAGAGCCTGAGTCTTGTGCTTCTGCTTAGAAGGAAGAAGAACAGCCCTCGTGCTGCAGCAGCAGGTTATGTTTAGCAACAAGGCAGCAGCGCAGACTCAAGAGACCAGTGGTCACTAGTTCTCGTGTTTTCACCTCTTTGTAGTATTTCCGAAGTTCCATGGTGGTCTGCATGCAGGGAAACACGAACATGAACACGCCCAAGCCCACGATGTAGGGCGTGAAGCTGAAGGGCTTTCCGGGGGCAGGGTTCACAGCTTCATTCACTATCACCGTCTGGTACTGCGTGGGCCTCGGGTTTGGATTCAGAAGCCTTCCGCCTTCGGTGCTGAAGCTTCTGGCGCTGCTGCTGCCCGAAACTTGCCGGGAAACGAGAGCGCCGGCGCGCCGGATGGGCTGCATGCGGTGGAGAAGCGAAGAGTTAAGCATTGTTGGACATTCAGGAGTTTGTAGTGGGACTCGGAAAGTAAAAAGATGAACTAAATGCAATAAAAGAATCCATAATTGATAGAAACGCTGAACTGTCAACGCATCCGCCGATTCAACTACAGCTCTGAGTGTTACCAGCCCAGTGGCGGCTGGGGCCGGACCGTGGCGCTGCTGCTTCCCAGAAACGCAGAACACAAGAGTATTAATAATTTCCCCTCGTTTCCACTTTTATATTTCATTATAATTGAGGGCTCGTGCAGCCTCGTGTAGGCTCGCCGTGTATAGCCCTGGAGCACAGAGCCCCCGGTAGGCGTCAGTGTTTCGGCTCAGCCCCCCGTACTGCCATGACGCCCAAGTCAAATGCCCATCTTGGTTGATTTGTTTGACGCCGTAGTGCTTTTTTAGGGCGTGTGTGCACAGCAGCACGCGGGGCAGCGGCTTTAGGCGTTTCTCCTGAGATCGGGAGCCCCAGCAGCAACCCAAACGACCTAAAATGACTTCTTCGAAGCCCTGTGGGAACCCCACTTTCCTCGGCGTGCCCATGCGGTGGGTGGCGCTGCTGGCGTTGGTCGGACAGACTGTGGCGAGCGTTAGCGTGTTGAGGCTTTCACGATCCAGCAAGTGGGTCCCTGAGGGGCCCCCCTACCTCGCGACGACAGCAGTTGTATCCGCTGAGGTGGTGAAGCTCCTCACCTCCATCCCGCTGGTCTGGTACGAACAGAACATGAGCCTGCGCCAGACGCTGGCAACAGTGCACCGCGACATCATGGGAAACCCGGTGGAAATGGCGAAAGTTGGCGTCCCGGGGCTCCTCTATGCTCTTCAGAACAACCTGATCTTCATAGCTCTTTCGAACCTCTCGGGAGCGATGTATCAAGTGACGTATCAGCTCAAGATCCTCACCACCGCCCTGCTCTCAGTGCTTATCCTGGGAAGACGGCTTTCAGTGCTGCGCTGGTCAGCTCTTTTTCTCTTATTTATAGGCGTCAGTCTTATTCAATATCCCGGATCGTCAGAGCGACCCAAGGCAGCAATGGGCTCCCCGCAGAGCCCCTTCATCGGGCTAGTTGCGGTCCTCTGCGCGTGCCTGACCAGTGGTCTTGCCGGGGTGTATCTGGAGAAGCTGCTGAAGCAAAAAACTGCAACGATCTGGGTAAATAATATGCAGCTCGCCATTTACGGAGTCCTTGCGGGGCTCGTGGGGGCTTTCTGGAACGACGGCGAGGCGATAAGGCAAAACGGGTTTTTCCAGGGATACAGCAGAATGACGGTGGCTGCGATTTTGCTGCAGGCTCTGGGCGGCCTCGTGGTAGCTGCTGTGTTGAAGTACGCAGATAACATACTTAAGTGCTTCGGAAACGCCATGTCTATTGTGTTTTCCTGTCTGATGTCGTGGTGGATTGTGGGTGACTTCTTCCCATCCCTCCTCTTCTGCATCGGCACGCTTCTTGTCCTCGTCGCCACATATTTGTACGTTGTCGAAAATCCGTTTTCTCCTTTCAACCAAGCTGGAGCCAAAAAGTACACCGAGCTGGTCCGGGCAGCGGAGGCAGCAGTTGTTTCATCAGATTCAAATGTTCACCATCGCTCCCGTGCAATGCCAGCTTGACCCTCGTTCATTGTTTTTGCTTCCTTTTTAATTGCCTCTTCGTTTGGGTCACGCAGTTGCCGCCTCTGCACAGATTTGGTGTGCTTGCGTTGAGCCTCTACTAAGAGCTGTGTAGGGGAACTTGCAAAGCAGGAACTTGGAAACAAACTCTTTCCGCTTGTTTGTGCTGACATGCACAATGTTTTTGTTGCAGTATTCCCGCAGCATTCTGCAGTATCGGAAGCAGGCATGGCTTAGTTCAACGTTAAGTTCCAAGTATTACCACTGGGCTGTCTGCAGTGCGCAAGGACACATAGCACTGCTTATGGGACGCAGCAACTTCTATTTCTTAGCTGCAACTGCATTTTGATTTGACCTGAACAAAAGATAGAGTGGGAAGCTTGTTCCCCAAATTGTCTGCAAAAAATTGGGCGGAGCTTCCGCAGAGCCAAATGTGGCTGCAACTAGTTGGAAGTGGGGAGTTGCGGCGTTATATTCAAGTATTTATTTTGCTTAATCAAGAGGAGCATCTCTACATTCCAATGAGGTTTGTAACGCTTCATTTCGACTTCGGTTTCCGCTGCTTTTCGCCAGAGAGGTTCACGGACCGCGTCAGCAGCCCCGAGAACCCAGAACCTAGAACAACGCAACAGAACAAAACGAAAAAGATCATCTAATAACTTGTGTACAAAAACGCTGCGGCACAGCCAGGGAATTCACAGGACTTGGTGATTTGCACAAGTTGTCTCACTGGCTTTCCGCGAAGCCGCGGCGCCGTGCGACTCTTGCGGGCTTATTGTCTTCGGCTTGGGAACAGGTCGAGAACGAAAGCCCTCAAAGACTGGAACTACATTTCGACTGCAGAAGCGAAACAGTAGAGTCAGAAAGGTTGCAGATTTCTATCTATTCCCTAGACCGCTGCAGCCCTAACAGTGAGTCAGCACCGTCTTAGAAAACAACGGATCTGAATCTTGACATTAAATCCTGCTTGTTTTAGCCATGTTTGTTTTAGCCTGCAGGCTCTTGGCATTATTACCTGCTGCTGCCGGAGAGCTCCAAGTCGCGCCGGAAGCTCGGCGAGAAACGAATGCACTGCGCAGGCGGGCAGTTCTGATTGTGTTTGTTGCGGAGAAGATCCGCGGGCTTGGCTTTAGCTAGAGATGCTTTCTTGTACAAGTTTTCCATTTCGTCTTCGTCGCTTTCCAAGCCTTCAATTGCCTTTTCGCTCTGCGCCTCCGTTGAATGCTCCTGCGCATGCTCCTGCGGCCCTTCGACTTCGACAACTTCCTTGTCGAGGTGCTTCCCGCCACTATGATGAGCTTCACTTCTAATGTTTGCACAAGTTGCATCCAATTTCTTGAATTCCTTTACAGGCAACGGACGCAAAACTTGTATCTTTTGGCGGCGAGATGCATTCTCCATGCATCTTGCAACAAGATCTGCAGGGTTTCGGCTGGCTGCTGCGGCGAATTCTCCCGTAATATCTTTCGTTTCTTCTGTTAATGCTATTGTCGACCACCGGACAATTTCCTCTGCAGGAGTTTCCGAAACTTCTTCCTCTTTTTCAGTGTCAGAATTCGAGTCCGACTCGTCGCTTTCAGAAAGCCAGTCATCTACGTCCATTCCCTACGGGTTTCAGCGAAATACAGTGTGAGCCTGTGCCGATGGATGCTGCAGATCCTCAGTAAGTGAATGAATAAATGAATTAATCAAAACAAAAACTCATGTATCTATTTAAAAAACCAAAATAAACACAAGAGGCATGTTTTCAATTCAAAACGCACCGCAAACTCGCCCTCGCCGAACAATTTTCTTCTTTTTGCAATTTGCCGGCGCCGCTCCTCGAGCTCAAGCTCCAGCATTTCCTGTTCTGTCAGTTCTTGGCCTTCTTTGTCTCCGCCTCGGTGATATCCTTTAAAGTTAAATAAGAAAAGGGAAATAAAGAAACATTTCTGTTTTCCCGCGTTTTTTTCGTTAAAAACGGGAATGTGCATGCATATACAAATGCACATGCATGAAAAATGCGTATGCAGGAAGGGCTACATAGATGAGCACGTGTGGAATTGAATATATGTGTATTTATTAAATATAAATGAAAAGGGGACTTTAAATAACTCAGTTAAAAGTAGAGAAATGCTCGTATGATTGCACACATAGAGGCACCCCCCGTTTGTGCAACATTTTGCATCAAAGCTGAATTCTGAAAAACCTTTAATTCAGCTTTTCTCTTTTGGCTCACTTCCAATGAACCTCTGGTAAACTTCTTCTTCTCTCTCTCCCGAATCTTTTTGCAGTTTCATTTTCATCGCTGGGCGGTCTTCATTTCGCTCGTCGAAGTCCACATCTTCAGGTGCCGCAATCAGGTCTTCAAGAAACTCCGCCTCGCTGAACAAGAGATTGCCACGCAGTTCTCGAAACAAATACATAAATTTACATCTTTATATTCAAAGATGTGTACATATATACATGTGCATTTCATATATATGTATATATACTACATATTATATATATAAAATACATATGTGCTTTTGCAACACATACATCAAAATACAGGTTTCGTGGAAACATACCAATAACATACTTGTGTATCCTCACACTCACCATAATTTCCACATACGTGCATTGCGCGTGCCCTTTCAGTTATGTAGATGAATACATATGCATGCATGCAAGCACGCATGCATGCATGCATTTTTGCACACAAACCCAAATCATCTGCATGCGTTTCTATTTTATTATATGGATTCTACGCTCGCATCAGCATAAGTCCTTTTCATAAGTCTTTTTGCGTATGGCCCCGAACTAAGACTATTCCCAGCTTTTTTGTTTAATATGAATCAACTCCTTCACAGAGATCACAACGACAGCAGCATGCATTTATACAAATAAATAAACAAATAAACAAACAAACAAACAAACAAATAATTATATTATATCATGCGGCTACAAATTCACAAAAAGAATCCTGTACAAGTCCAGGAATAAGACCCGATCCAAGGACTTGGAACAAAGCGCGGGAACCCCTTTTGCAAAAATGCGGCAAAGAGGAAACTTTGGAAAGACTTGCAAGTTGCGAGTGTTTGAAATTCAAAACAAAACTGCAAAAATTTGCAAGTCCGAGTGTTTAAAATTCAGAGCAAAACTTTGCAAGATTTGCAAGTTCAATTGTTCAACATTCAAAACAAACATTTGCAAAAATTTGCAAGTCCAATTGCTCAACATTCAAAACAAAACTTTGCAAGATCTGCAAGTCGAATTGTTCAACATTAAAAACAAGACTTTGCAAGATTTGCAAGTCCGCGTGTGTCCTTCGAAAAGACTTGCCTGTCTTCATCTTCTTCATCATCTTCTTCTTCTTCTCTCGCCAGCCGCGTCTTCAACTCCTGCAGAGCTGCTGCGTACTCTTCATCTTCTTTGAGTTCTTCGTCGTTTTCCTCCGCCTCGTACTCCATCATCCGACGCACGACTTCCCGCATGTGCCTTTGCACAGCCGCACCCACCCAGCCCCGCTTCAGGTGCATGCATCCAAGTGTGCATGCATGCAAATGCGTGCATGCATGCAAATGCGTGCATGCATGCAAATACGTGCATGCGTGCAAATGTGTGCATGCATGCAAATGTGTGCATGCATGCAAATGTGTGCATGCAAATGCATGCGCAAGCACTTGCATGCAAACGCACGCATGCACGCAAATGCATGCAAATGCTTGCGCATGCATTTGCATGCATGGGTATGCACGCATGCACTTGCATGCGAATGCATGCGTATGCAGCTTGTGCGTGTGTGTCTACTGCTGTGTGCAACTCGCACTTTTTCCTTTCTAATCTTCTTTGTCTTTTCAATTCTTCTGCTTTCTGCTTTTTGCGAAGTTCCTTCCGCCGCCTTTTCTCCTCCAGCCGAGCTGCTTCAGAAGCAGATTCAGAAGCAGCAGCAGCAGCTGGGGCTTCCTCCGGAGTGGCTTCGGGCCCAGTAGGAGCTTCTGTTGCTGCTGCTGCTGCTGCGTCAGCTGCTTCGCTGGCTGCAGCAGCAGCAGCGGGAGGCAGCTGCACTTCCGGCAGCTCTGCTGCTGCTGGTGCGTCATCATCAATGAGTTTTCTTTTTCTGTTTTTTGTCGGTTTTATTTCTTCTTCGGACTCTTCGTCTTCTGCTGCTGCAGCATCAGCAGCAAACTTGTAAATCAAAGGAGGCATTGAAATATTCTTTTTGTTTTTTATTTTGTTGAAAGTAAATCGAAAAAGATCCGTCAGCTTCATTTGCCGAGGGCCCCCAGCATTGTAATTGCGGCTGCTCGAAACGCGCTTCGGATCCTGCTGCCGCTGCTGCTGCTGCTCCCGTTGCTGCTGCTGCTGCTGTAGTTTTGCATCCACTGAGGACTCAGGGGTTGATACTGCTGAGGTGTCTGTGGAGCTTTGAGCTGCTGTGGAAATCTTTTCTTCAGAAGCAACTTCATTTCCCGAGACAGTTGACTGTTTTAGAGGAGCGGCAGCAGCAGCAGCAGCTGCTGCTGCTGCAGCATCTGCTGCTGCTGCTGCAGCATCTGCAGCAGCAGCAGGTGTGGCTGCAGCAGCTGATGACAGTGCAGCAGGAGATACCGAATCGGAAGCTGCTGCATCAGACACCCAGGCAGGAACTGCTGGAGCAGCAAGTGGCTGAACAGCAGCAACTGCAGCAGCACCTGCAGCAGCAACTGGTGGGGTGGAAAGGACTGACGGAGCAGCAGCAGCAGCAGCAGCCACAGCGGTTGGCGTTGCAGCAGCAGCCGCTGCAGCAGCGGTAGCTGGCGCAGAAGCAGGGTCTCGGCCAGCAGCAGCTACTGGTTCAGCAGCAGTTGCTGCTGCAGCAGCAGTTGCTGCTGCAGCAGCAGTTGCTGCTGCAGCAGCAGTTGCTGCTGCAGCAGCAGGAGCTGCAGCAGCAGCAAGCGGGGGTGCTTCTTTCTCCTGAGACTGCTGCTCATTGTCTTTGGTTTCTTTTTGCTTCTCGCCGTTTTTACTTTTTTGCAAATTTAAAAAAGTGATTTGCTCGGCGCTCTGATGAGGCGCGCGAGACGCCTGCACTTGGGGTGTATCGACAGCTCGCGCCCCCGCAACTCGCTGCTGCTCCCACTCTTTCTCGTCACTTGATTTATTTTCTGAAAACTTTTGCGAACTTTGCTGCTGCAGTCTGCAGCTAGAAAGAGGCGTTCTTGTGGGGCTGCTGCAGCTGCTGGCTGCTTCCCGAAAAGAAGAATTCGAGCCTCTATTCAATGTCCTTATTGGAGTCTTTGCTTCCCCTACAACTATGCTGCTGCTGCTGCTGCTGCTGCTGCTGCTGCTGCTGCTGCTGCTGGACTTGGCTCGCGCCTCCGCTGCGGCCCTCTTGGGGGTAGCAGCAGCGTCTGTGGGCGCTGCTGCTGCTGCTGCTTTTCTGTTGGTTTTGAAGGGCGAGGAAGGTCTTGAGGAAGCTGCTGCTGCATCTCTATGTTTCGGAGTTTGCGGACTTTGGAAGGCCTCGGCAGCTTCTCTTTTTTGTTTGTTTTCGAGTTTTTCCGCCAAGTCCTTGGGAATAAAGTTGCAGCTTCCTCTGGAGGCCAGCAGGTCCCACGGGGTGTATCCAAATGCTGCATGCAGCTCGGACCAGTGGTCTGCTGCTGCTGCTTGCTGCCAGGGGTCTGCCTGCCGCTCGATCTCGGGGGGGGAGTCCAGATCGGGGTTTTCGGTGACTTTTACGAGTCCATACTTGGCAGCGAGGGCCTGGCAACAATAGAAAAGAAAAAAAGAAAAAACGCACGCAAAAACGCATGCAAAAAGCCCCAAATCCCGCAGAAACAGCTGAAACGCGCCGCGCATGCGACGGACACCCATGTGCATGCGCATGCATGCATGCACCGCGCAGCAACCACAACCCCACCAAAAGCCCCAAATAAACACCCACCAACTTGTGCGGCTCTGCCAACAACTTGTGCATGCGCGGAAGTTGTTTTAAATACTCTTCGACAGCTTCGCGGTGTCGGCCTTGCAGCTCCTGGGGGGGGCGTACGTACACCACATCCTGCGGAAGTGCAGCAGAAATGAAAAAACGAAAAAGAGGAAAACAGAATTTATTTTTATTTATTTTTGAAACAGACCCAGAAAAGCGCAAGTGAAATGAATAAAACGGAAAAGCTCCTCTTCAAAGTCCCAAGTTGCTGCATGCAGCTCCAAATGCAAACGAAACTCTAGCCATACTTGCCGAAAACGCAACCCCCCAAACCCTAAACCCTAAACCCTAAACCCTAAGGACGCACAAATCTGCTGAAAGAAAAACCCCTCGCGCTGAAGCGGTGAGCTTTTGCATGTTCTTCTCTGCTGGGGTGGTGGAAACGAGGCCTGCAGCAGCAGCAGCAGCAGTAGCAGCACAGAAAGTGCAAACGTGGAAAGTGGAAAAAATAGAAAAAAAGAGGCAAATAAATCGAAATAAAGGGAAATTTGGAGAAAAGAGAAAGATAATAAATCGAAATGAAAGGTAATTCAGTGAAAAAAAGGAAGTTAAATCGAAATAAAAAGGAATTTGGAAGAAAGGGAAGATCAATAGACTGAATCAAAAGGCAATTCACAAAAAAGAGAAAAGATCAACAAATTAAGACATAAAAGGGAACTCAGAAAAGGAGGAGGTCAATAAATTAAAAAATAAAAAGGAATTCAGAAAAAAATTTAATGCGGGGGAAAACTGAGACAAGTTTGACAAAAAATAAACTCGCGCTTTACGGTTAAGACAGAAAAAGACTCTCGAAAAACAAAATTGAACTTTCATTTAAAGGCAGCAGCAGCAGCAGCCGCTGCTGCTGCTGTGGCAGCTGCAGCAGCAGCAACTGCAGAAGTGCATTTGTAGTCGTTTCAGTGGAAACGACTACAAAGAAAAGAAGAAAAGAAGTTGGACCCGAAGTGAGTGCTTCTGGCGAGTCTTTGCAAGTCTGCCCATCTTTGTCTCAGTGCAAATCTTCGAGCTTCTTTTTTTTCCACTTCTCTTTGCTGCTGCTGCTTCTTGCTTTCTTCTTTGGCCCGCGCCGGAGAAGCTGCTGCGCAGCAAACAGCAAAGACACAGCTGCTGCAGCAAAGCCTCAGCTGCTGCAGCAAACAGCAAAGACGCAGCTGCTGCAGCAAAGCCCCAGTTGCTGCAGCAAAGCCACAGCTGCTGCGGCAAAGCCCTAGCTGCTGCAGCTGCAGCCACTGCTGCCTTCCCACTGTGCACAGCCAGCTGCAGCAACCGCAACAAGAACAAGGGCAGCAGCAGCAAGAACAAGGACAGCAGCAGCAGCAGCAGAAAGAACAAGGACAGCAGCAGCAGCAGCAGCAAGAACAAGGGCAGCAGCAGCAGCAGTGTTACCTTCAAAGCCGGCGTGGCTGCATGCACTGCGGGAAAGTGCACTTCTCTTGAGGGCGGCCCAGCCCCTGGAGGAAGAGTCTGTGAAGTTTCTGCTGCTGCTGCTGCTGTCTTCGTCTGAGAAAGCTTCCGCGCTGTACTGAGAATCTTCATTTCCAAAAAGAGAAGAAGTGACAAAAAGGTTTTCGCCATTTCCCAAGGCCGCGGGCGCGTGAGCTGTACGTACACCCCAACGCAGCAGCAGCGCAGCAGCAGCGCAGCAGCGAAACTTCCCGCGAAAGCTGCTTCGCGTTTCTTTCAACGCACCCTAAACCCTAGACCCTAAACCCTAAACCCTAAACCCTTTAGTGCACCTTCATATTCTGTTTCTTCTTCTGCTGCTGGCTTAGCCCGTCGATAGCCCATGGACTTGTTTCTTTCAATGAGGCCGCACTGCTCAGCCCGCAGCAGAAAGTGCTGCAGCTGCAGCACAAATTAAAAACAAAAATAAAACATTTAATTCATTCAAACTCTTGATGCAAATTCCACTTTTTGGGAATCAGAAAAACAGCGAAATCCACAGAAGCTGCTCTTTGCATGCATGCACGAACTCCAGGGAGAGCTCCACTGCAGCAGCAGCAGCAAAAGAACAAGCAGCAGCAACAAACCCAGAAACAGCCGCTGCAGCATATACACAGCAGCAGCATGAGTACGGCGACAGCAGCCGCAGCACTTGCAGCAGCAGCAGCACTCGCAGCAGCAGCAGCGCTCGCAGCAGCAGCAGAACTTGCAGCAGCACTCACAGAAGCAGCATCACTCACAGCAGCAGCAGCACTCGCAGAAGCAGCATCACTCACAGCAGCAGCAGCACTCGCAGAAGCAGCATCACTCACAGCAGCAGCAGCACTCGCAGCAGCAGCAGCACTTGCAGCAGCAGCAGCACTTGCAGTAGCAGAAGCACTCGCAGCAGCAGCAGCACTTGCAGTAGCAGCAGCCCTCACAGCAGCAGCAGCACTTGCAGTAGCAGCAGCCCTCACAGCAGCAGCAGCACATGCAGCAGCAGCGGCACTCGCAGCAGCAGCAGCACATGCAGCAGCAGCAGCAGCACATAGCTTGCCTTGCGGAGTCCCCTGGGCTCTGCAACTCTGAGGTGGAAGAGTTTGTTGAGGATTTCTTCTTGAGTGATGAAAAATCTTTTATTTTTTTGCATCCATTTGTCGAATTCTTGAACAGCAGCAAACTGGTCAGCAGCACACTTCAGCAAATTCGAAAGCACCACTTTGCTGCTGCGCGGCTCCACCACTCGTCTGCATGCATGCAAACAAAACCAATTCATTCTTCAAATTGAGTTTATTCAAATAATTAAATAATTAATCATCTAATTATTTAATTAAATAATCAATTAAATAATTAATTATTCAATTAAATAATTATTTAATTAATTATTTGTCGGAAAGTTCCTGCATGTGCAGCTGCAGTAAGACCGCCATTTTGCAAAAAGGATTAGCAGCAGCTTTGAAAGATTTGAAGTAAATTAACTTGCAGATTTTAAAATTTTAAAAAATTCAAACTTTCAGAATTATGAAATGAAATGCCGGCCTAGAAGAAATGCACCAAAAACCCCGAAAACCCCAAATCCTAATCCCTAAACCCTAAACCCTAAACCCTAGCCCAGTCGCCAACCCTAGACCCCGAACGTTCGTCCAAGCACACGTCCCAACCCTAAACCCTAACCCCCCAAACCCAAACCCCAAACCCTAAACCCCAAATCCCAAACCCTAAACCCCAAACCCCACACCCTAAACCCTAAACCCTAAACCCTAAACCCTACAAATGCAGAAACTCCGTGGAATACTGTTCGTTTGGATAATCCAAAAAGACAACTGCTTTTTCCTCCGGCGTCGACGCGGCCAAAAGTTGAGCGCTCAAAGGCCGCAGCGGCTCGCACAGAAAAGCCTCCGAAAAGGGGCGCTGCGCAGCCAAACACTAAACCCTAAACCCTAAACCCTAAACCCTAGGCCATGAAGCCTGCATTTGTGCAGAAGGTTTGGAGGAAATTTGCAAAAAAGAAATTCTGAAATTCTGAATTGTGAAGAAGTGGTAAATGGGGTGTATGTACACCAGGCCAAACCCCAAGTCCCGCGGCGAGTGGCTTTGAAGAAGCAAAAAGATCTTTTTGAATTTGCAAAACTTGAACAATTTTAATTTTTGTTTTTTGTTTTTAAATGAAATGAAATGAAATGAAATGCAACTTGGCCAGTTAAGTGGCGTCGGCGCTGCAGGGGCTGCGAGCTGAGGTGTACAGACAGCTCACCGTCCCGCCCCTCGTCAGCTCGCTGTCCCAAAGTGTCACTTCTATTTTTCTTTGTTCTTCACTAGCAGCAGTTGCAGCCCATTGTCTTTCTTTCAAAATGTAGTTCAAGCACCAGTCCACGGCCTCGTCGAAGTCCGCTGCTGCTGCTGCTGCTGCTGCTGCTGTTGCATGCATGCGGCCCCTGTAAGGAGAGGCGTCCAAGTCGCTTTCAGACTCGCTCTCGGGCACGGACGCGCTGCTGCTGCTGCTGCGGCTGCTGCTGCGGCTGCTGCTGCTGCTGCTTGCTGCTGCTCCATCGGACTGCGCATGCAGCAGCACAAGACGCGGAAATAAAAAAATGATAAACTTTCTTTTCAGAGACATCTGTCTCGAAAGCCCCCCCTGCAGCAGGTGTACATACACCGCAGCGCCAGCCTCACCGAGTCTTCAGAAGAGCGCGAAGCTGCACTTCTTTTGTTTTCACGTTTTGCAATTTGTCTTTTCACTTTTAATTCTTTCTTTGGAGTTGATTCTTTTTCTTTTTCTTCTTTCCACTTTTGTCTCAGCCGCAAACGCTGAAAAACACTCGACGGCCCTTTGCTTTCGTTGTCGCTGCCGCCAGACTGCCCAGCAGCAGCTGCTGCTGGTTCTGCTGTTGCTGCTGCTGCTGCTGTTTCTGTTGCTCCTGCTGCTGCAGAGGAGGCAGACGTGGAGCTGACAGAAAGGCCTCCTCGTTTTCTTGGGGTGCCCTTTGGCGGGGTAGAATCAGCTGCAGCTGCAGCTGCTGCTGCTGCTGCTGTCGCTGCTGCTGCTGCTGGCTCGCCGTCGCTGTCTGCGTCGCTGTCAATAGTTTTGCGGAGGCGCCCGCGGCTGCAGGAAGCAGAAGCAGCAGCGCAGCAGGAGATTTGAAAAGCTCTTTTGCTGCTGCATTTTCCTCATTTTAAAAGTGATTGTGTCACAGAGAGTGGGCGCAGCAGCAGCTGCTCAGGTGTACCTAAACTCCAGCTGCATGCAGTGTGCAGACACTCGAAACTGCTGCCGGCCTGCAGCACTGCTCTGCGGTGTACGTACACTCGGCCCCCACACTCACCGCCTCGCGAGCAACGGCGACTCTGGTGATTTCATTTTCTTTTTGGAAAGGCCGGAGGCCCTTGTGGAGCGCGTTCAAACTTGCATAAGAAGACTTGGGATTTCTCGTTTTTTGGCTGAGATCGGGGAAGCAGCTTCGGCGGGTTTCGCCGCACGAGCGAGCCCGGAGGCAGCGAAAGAGAGGCAAACTGCGGGAAAAAAGGAATTAATGGAATGAGTTCATCTGGAATTAAGAAAAACTTCTTTTTCGCAACAAATGGAACTCTTTTTCGCAAAGATCAGCTCGAGTTTCTTCGCCTTTTCGCAATGCACACATGGGCGCTCGGCGGCGCCGCCGGCGAGCGCTGCGGCGCCGGAAAGCCCAAAAGCCGTCTCGGAATAATAAAAATGAATTATAAATGAAAATAAATCCAGGGAGTTGCTTTTGGGCGGGGGATTCCCCGTGTACGTACAGCGGACCGCCAGGGGAGGGGGGTGGTGTTACTGACCCGCCGCCACTTTTCTAGTTTCGGGACTGGGGCCCCAACGGCTGCATGCAAAAGGGAAACTTGTGTTCTTCGACGATAACTTCAATTAAAATTATAATCCCTGCATGCAGAATGGCTTAATGTTCAAATTTTGAGGTGTACAGACACCTCGCGCGAGCTTCGCTCCGCGCTCGCCGGCTGAACTGCATCACTTTTGCTTTCTTGCAAGTCTAATCAACGATGAAAACACAAAATATTCTTTATTTTCAATATGTTGCGTCTTCTAGCCTCGCCAGCTTCCGAGAATTCCCCTCGATTAAGCCCGCTTCTGAGGGGAAGGGAACACCCCGGTGTGAGTAACCCAAGCCCCAGCAGCAGCAGCAGCAGCAGCAGCAACGGCACCCCTGGCCTCTCCAGCGCCACGCTGCTGCATCCTTCAAGGACACCGTTGACCCGTCCCAGCAGCAGCAGCAGCAGCAGCAGCTGTTTTCTGTCGCGTGCTGCTTACCACCACTCCTCGGAGCTGCAGCGGTACTTCACTAACCGCTTCCACAAGAAGATCTGCCCCCGCTGCAGCAGACCAAACATCTTGCCAGCTTGCTGCTGCTGCTGCTGCCAGCAGCAGCTCTCGGACCTGCACATACACCCCGTCGGCAAAGACCCTCTCTGCGAGCTTGTGCTGTCTAGACACCGCAACCACGACGCCTCTTCTTTCCTCCTTTCTCGTCTTTCAGATTCCAAACAACTTCCAGATTCAGAAGTTCCTTACCTTTCCCTCGAAGCTTTCCTGAACCAGTCCCCCAAGCCCCTTGGGGGGCACCCCGGGGTCCCCCCTGGGAGCCCCCCAGGGGGCCCCCCCTGGGGGGCCCCCGGGGGGGCCCCCGGGGAGTCTGTGGGTTTTTGCGAACTGTTTCGTTCGTTCAAGTTTGTAGTTTCAGTGTTTCCGTTTTCTGCGGCGTTTGTACACCTGGTGGGGGTTCCGAAGGCGTCGATTTATGATTTGAAACAGCTGAGGAGAAGTCATTTGGGATTGTTGTTGAAAATGAAGGAAAAGACGGAGTTGCTGGTGGGTCTTTTGGTGGACTTGCATTTGAAAAAGTTAAAAAGTGAAGCTGCAGAGGCGGCGGCGAAGGCGGGGGTGGACGGAGGTGCGGATACACCTGAAGCGGGTTGCTGGGGTGTACGTACACCTGGGGAGGCGGCGCCGGGTCGTAATGCAGGGGAGCAAAAGCCGCAGCTGTCAAAAGAATTAAATGAATTAAAAACGAAGGAAATAAATTCAAAGTTGAAACAAATGACTGTCTTCGGATTCAATTATCCCGCAGAGTTCAGCCAACTCTGCATGCATGCACTCACTCCCCCCTTTTCCAACTTTTCTCTTTTCCAGTTTCCTTTCTTTTATCCTTTCAACAAAGTTGCCAAAGACCTCCAAAGCCGCGGCGCTGTCCAAGTTGTTCCTGCTGCTGCTGCTGCTGCTGCTGCTGCTCTCAGGTTCGCTTTGCTGCTGCGGCTTCTGCTGCTGCTCGCAGTTCAATTCCACTGTTTGCTCCTTCTGCTGCTGCTCCTTTTGCTGCAGCATTTCATGAAATTTGCTGCTGCATGCAGTTTAATTTGCTACTAAGGCATTTTATAAAAATGCACTAAGACCCAGCGCAAGCCGGTGCAATTAAAAGTAGAGAAAGATATTTTATGTTTGCATTCAAAGTTCTCAAATATTTTAAAATTAAATATATTAAAGATATTTTATATTTGCATTTTAACTTTTCAAATGATTTTAAACCAAATATATTTCTGCATTAATAGAGGGTATATTTGTGCGTAAGTGTATGTACGCATTTGCATTTATTTAGAGGTTACTTGTGTATTTAAATGTATGAATTCATTTTTATTTATATCTAATATACATATATATATTATATCTTATCACATATATATATATATGTATCTTATATATATATATATTACATTTTAATACATGTATACATGCGTATTATATATATATATATATATGTATATATATATATATATGTATATTATACTATTCTATATGCTACAGGCCATTTGCCCACATACAAATATATGATTTATATCCATTTATGCATATAACACTAGACCAACAAATATGTCAACTTGTATACAAAATGTATATATGAATATGTATTTATATGTATACGTATAAATACTATCTATATATAAATCTATATACTAATATATATGAAATGAACTTGTTGAGTGTCTTGTCTTTGTGTGCGGCTGCAGCGAAGACGACTCAGCTGTACAGACAGTCAAGGAGAGAGACGCTGCAGCTCGCCAGCTGTTGCTGCAGCTCAATTTGAAATGAAATAAAATGAAATAAAATGAAGTAAATGAAAAAAGTTTAATCTGAATTTGAAATAAAAAAATAGGTCTAACTGCAGGGGATTCTGCAGCTTTCTTTGAATTAAACTGGCGACTTAAGTCTATTTTTTTGTACCACAAAAATGCAAAAAATCGCGGACTTGAATGCAAATTTGTCTGTCTCGTTTTTGAAAAAAGAAAAGATAAATGAGAGAAGATAATGCAAAATAAATATATCTTCTTGCAAATCTGCCATTGCATGCATGCGCAATCCGCAGTCGGAGTGCAAACTGGGAGCAATTAAATTGCAGGATTTCTGTTTCTACAGAAAATCTCTTTTGTTTTCTTTGAATTTGAATGATTCGCGAATGTTGCAAACAAATAAGTGAAGTTGAAGAAACAAAACTGAAACGACAGACGCGCTCGGCGAAGAGCTGGCTGCTGCGTGAGGTGTACGTACACCTCGGAAGCACCCGCGAACAGCTGGCCGCGTGAGGTGTACGTACAGCTCAGGTGTACGTACACCTCAAGCGGCCAACTCACAAGGTGTCGTAAGTTGCCGCTTGCTGCCTTTCAGTTCTTCCATATTTCCAAAAAGCAAAAAAGCCACTCAGCAGCAGCAGCCCCACCACGCCGCCCCCCGCCGCGTACACATAAGTCATTGAACTAACTTCTTCTGAAATCGAAAAAGAAAATCAAAAAAGAAAACCAAGAAATAAAAATAAAGAAAATTAAAATGAAAATAAAAAAGAAAAATAAAAGAGCAGAAAAAACAAACTCACTCTTCAGAAATGGCTTTTTCGTGTAGCGAAAAGAAGCGTGCATGCAAATGCATTTTTAATATTTATCAGTGCAATATGCGAGTTATATTTATCAACGCAATTTAAAAATTATATTTATTACTACAATTAAAAAGAAAACAAACACTCTGCAAAAATGGATTTTATTTCAATATACTTTTCTGCAACTTCAGAGCTTGTTATGCACAGATGCATGCGCCTGTGAAATTCAGGCTTTTGTGCCATCCACAGTTTAATCATTAAATGCCAAAGTGCCTTTTCTTTGTATATTTTCAACAAATGTAAAGTGCCTTTTCCTTATTATAAATCTTCACCAAAGTGCACATTAATGCATGCATGCATGCACGCATGCGTGCGTGCATGCATGCACGAATGCATGCACGCATGCATGCATTGACCACAACACACACCTACACAGAGGCGTACACATACCAGTGCACATATAAAGTACACAAAAATCGATCCAGATCCATAAAAATCAATCTGCATGCATGCAAATCCGTCTAAACCTCCATATAAATGACATTTTAGATGAAAATAAGTGAAAAAGTGCGAAAAAAGGTGAGCTTTGCATGCAAAAATGGGGGAAAAAACAGCCAAACTCGCCTTTGCAGCTGGCGTTGGCGCAGCGCTGCGTCTCATTCATATCTGGGCAAATTGTGCCTGAGACAGACTTGCGGATTCTGGACTGCAGGCCGCTGCAGCTGCAGCTGGACCACTGGGTCCACTCCAAGTACACGCAGTCGGAGGCTGCAGCGAAATTAAAAGGGAAAAATGCAAATTTATCGAAATTATTGACAATGTTTAATAATAGTTGATGGAAAATAACAAAAAATAAAATGGCAAAAAATGGCAAAAAATGAACCGAAAAAGGCCAAATAATTCAGATTCAACTCCCAGAAACAGCTGGAAAGCGAAGACAGCTGGAAAGATAAATGCATGCAAAAGCAGCAAAGTCGCAAAAGCAAATAAAAGAATAAGAAAAAAGGAAATTTGGAAGCAAATTAAAGGGAGATTTGATGCAAAAGGAAAAGACAAAATCGGAAAAACTTGCAAAGTGCGCATCTAGTGCAAAAGGCCTCGAAGTGCGTGTCAAGTTGGCGAAAAAAGAAAAAAATAAATCAAATAACAACAGCGAAATAAAAGCAAACTCGAACTAGTCAAAAAAAGCGAAAAAAAAGCAAATCCAAATTGGAAAACAAGACCCCCCCGAGCGAAGAGCTGTACGAAATAACTTCAAAAGGAATAAAAATGAAGAATAAAAGAATAAAGCTGCAAATAAAAGCGTAAAACATGCAAATAAAGGAGCAAAAATGAACAATAAAAGGAAAAAAGAGAAAAAAGTGCAGAAAATCGAAAGCTGTTGAATTGAAAAAGACGCACTGCAGTCGGGCACGTCGTGGCACCTGCGGCTCTCCGCCTCTGCTGCGTCTTCGTCGCATTTTGCCAAATCACAAAAAGGGTCTTTTGCACTTTTGTCTTTTTCGTTTTTTTCGTTTTCATTTTCATTTTCTTTTCCACTTTTTCCAACTTCCGGAAGCGGCACTGGATTCTGCAAACGCCGTCTTCGCCGGATTTGGTAGCGGCCGCTCCCGCAGGCCGGCTCGCACTCCACTTCCGACCACTCCACAAAAGCCCCAAACACGCAGCAAGTTGCTGCAGCAGCAGCAGCAGCAGCAGTGGCAGCAGTGGCAGCAGTGGCAGTGGCAGCAGTGGCAGTGGCAGCAGCAGCAGTGGCACCAGCAGCAGTGGCAGCAGCAGCAGTAGCAGCAGTGGCAGCAACAGCAGTGGCAGTAGCAGCAGTGGCAGAAGCAGCAGCAGCAGGAGCAGCAGCAGTGGCAGCAGTGGCAGCAGCAGTGGAAGCAGCAGCGGCGGAAGCGGAAGAGATGGTACGGGTGGGATGTGTGGAGCCTAAACCCTAAACCCTAAACCCTACACTAAGGGGTAAAGCGTGAATGCTGGAAGGGAAGTAAACCCTAAACCCTAGGGAAATAAACCCTAAACCCTAAACCCTAAACCCTAGGAAAAGCCTCAGCTTACCGTTCATGTTGCTGCTAACTTCTGAAGAATTCAAAGTCCCTCCTTCCAGACAAGAAGCAACTTCAAATAATGTGTCTTCTGCAGTTTCGTTGTCATCTACGAATCCATATGAAATAATCTGCAGCAGCAGCAGCACAGCAACAGCAGCAGCAGCAGCAGCAATGACGAAAGGAACAAATCAACTTATTAGTTAATGCCACACACGGGGTTTTCAAAAAAAGAATTCAGTTCTGTTTTCAGAGAAAAGGAAAATATTTGATTAAATGAACTTTATACAAAGGAAAGAGAAATAAAATAAAATAAAAAGAACTAAATTAAATTTACACTTCTGCGTCTTTTCTTCCAGCCCTTTGAGGTGTCTATACCCTCGCAACTGCTCCACTCCGACCAGGGGCTCCACTGAGTAGTTGAGAAATCTTTTGCTGCTGCTGCTGCTGCTGCTGCGTCTCCAGAAAGCCACAAAGAGTCTGTTTGCTGCTCTTTGCTGCAGCTCATTAAACTCGATAACTCACAAGACAAAGTGCTGTTGTTAAATGAAAAATAAAAACAACTCGCTTCGCTGTACGTACGCGGGTCCGCTCTGCATGCACATTCCGCAGCACACTTTTATTTATTTATTTTCAAATAAATAGAAACATATTTAACATATATATATACATTTACATCTATACAATAGATGTATATATATATCTCTAATTTTAAATATATTGATATATATTGCATGCGCTTTTGTATTTTCATTCAAGTTGTTACATCTGAGGAAGGCTTCAGAAGGCTGCAGAGTAGAATGGAAAAGTCAAAAAACGAATTAAAAAGCTGAAGAAAAAAATAAACAATAATTAAATAAAATTAAGAAAAAGAACAGAAGATCTTTGCAGAAACAAAGTCTGCAAAGCAAGCTCTGAGTGTTGCTGCAAAGCGCATTCATGCAATTTTGGACTTGTGAAATATTTTTTCGAATTTTCAATTATGTCTTTCAAAACTCTGAAATAAATTGCCTACGCAGCGCCTCCACTGGCTTTGAATTTATTAACACATTCTTTTTGGCAATCTCTCCAGCTGTTTGTTTTGAGTTGAATTTTGTTGTCCGCAGCCGGGCAGGAGTGCGTGCCCAGCTGAACGCCGTTTCCTGAACACCCAAAGCGAAACCAAATTCATTTTTAGAATTATATAATAATAATAATAACAATAATAATAATAATAATAATGAATTGCAAAAGAGCCGCTGTTTCCGTCCAGATCGCGATTGCCTGCGGCTTTCGCTTGCAACTTTGCGCATTGGGGTGTACGTACACCGCAGCAACGCGAGACGCTCACCGCACTTGACTCCCTGATTGCAGCTTTCCACTTCCCACAAATGGGGGCACTTATCGCAGAAAGAATCTTTTCCATCTTTGCAATGATCTAGACTTGCATGCTGCTCAATTTCTCGAAAACGACCCGAAAATCCCGCTTCGCACCAGCTGCTGCAGCTCGTTTCTTGCCACTCCCCCACAACGCAAGAAGTGCATGCAGAGTCTGCGCCGTAGCCCGTGACAGCAATTTCGCCTTCTTTCGCTGTGGGAAGAAAAACACAAAAGAAACAAATTAAAAAGGTTAAAAATAAATTAAAAATAAATGACAAAAACGCAACATAAATAAATCTACAGCTTCCCACCCGCTGCAGCGAAGGGGAGCAAGCAGCCAGGTGTCTGTACACTCCAACTAAATCCCTGCATGCAGCGCTTAAAAGAACAAAAGAGAAATTATTTAAGCAGATTTAAAGTTTGCATTTCAAAGTGCGGGAGCCAAGTTGAATACGAACTGCTTTGCATGCGCATGCACGCAAATATGTCTTAAATAGCTGACTTTCGGAAAAAAGCATTTTAAAAGATAGAAACAAAAGAACTAAAAGAGAATTAAATGCGCTTCATGCAAATATGTTTTAAGTAGCTGACTTTGCGTAAAAATGCATTCTAAAAGACAGAAAGAAAAGAATTAAAAAAGAATCAAATGCGCATCTTTTAAAAGCCCCGCACCGTCTCGGAGGCAGCTAGAAAGGGCCTTTTGGTCGAGAACGGTTTGCGTTTTGAGTCCAATTAAAGTACAAGTCCCAAGTTCTGCACTTTTAATTTTTGTCCAGGAAAAGAAAGTGAAGTTTCCCGCGAGCTGGGCTGCGCACTCGCGCCAGGTGTACGTATGCCCCCCCTCCTTCAGCGCGAACTTCGAGTCGCTGCAACTCGAAAACCAATTCAGACTTTTTGCCATTCCTTTCCGGCCTTTTTGTCTCGAAACATTTTCAGCTTTGCCCCACAAAGCCGTGCACGCTGCAGCAGCAAAGCAGCAGCAGCAGCAGCAGCAGCAACCAGCAGCTACTTGCACGGAAAGTTGCACGCAAAAACACCCCCTACAGCTCTTTCTCTGCGCATGCAACGCCGCATGCATGCATGCATGCATGCACCGCAGCAATGCATGCATGCATGCACCGCAGCAATGCATGCATGCATGCACCGCAGCAATGCATGCATGCATGCATGCATGCACTGCGGGCCCCGGGTGTATGTACACCTTACCCCCCTGCTGCAGCTGCTTGAAGGCCGAAGAAGAAGACTCCGGGACTTGCAGAGGATTTGAATAAGCACTTTTAAATTCTTCGCTGATTTTTGAAACTACAGAAATGCCGTATTGCTTTTCAAGAAGAGAAAAAGAAGTTTCTCTTTTCTTCAAATCCTCATCTGCGGAAAAAGCAAAAAGATCTTTTTTAAACTGCGAACGCACTCCAGAAATAACCCCCCCGCGTGCTGCTGCTGCTGTACAGACACCCCGGAAGCACGCGCAGACACACCAGCAGCAGCAGCGGCAGCACCAGCAGCAGCAGCGGCAGCAGCAGCAGCAACACGAACACTCACCGGACTGGGGAGCAATCGGAGAAGACACACTCAGCCAGAAAAAGCCGCTGTCTTGAAGAGAAGAAGGAGGAGACCAGTCCAGCACGTCTCCGGGGACCACTGGAAACTGACCAGTGCTGAAACGGCGTTTCCACCTGCTGGGCTGGTCTTTGTGGGCTTCTTCAGCAGCAGCAGCAGCAGCTGCTGCTGCTGCTGCGGCCTCATCGTGCAGCAAAATGAGGCTGGTGACGGGCTCGAGGGCTAGCCCGGCAACTGCGGCCACGCAAGCGGCGACTCTCGCGGCTCCCAGGGCGCGTCTTGCCATGCCGACTTGGGAGAGAAAAGCAACTCCTGAGCTTTTTAAAAGTAATTTAAAGCTCTTTGGAACCTCAGGAAGAAGTTTGACTCGAGAAAGGCCGCGGAATTCATGGATGATCGCGGCCGGCGGTGACCACTGCGCCGCGCTCGTGTCCAGTCACGCACGGACGGGCTGCGGCTCACAGTCCCATTTCAAACGGTGAAATGCCTTTAAAAGGTGAAATGCAGAACATTTGCAAAGGAAATTTGGGGAGAAAGCTGCAAATAAATGTCTAATGGTCGCCGCTGAGACGCGCGTGACCGCCACGGAGGCTGAGGTGTACAGACAGGTGGCGGGTTGGTGACGCGCCGCGAACACGCAAAGCAAGTTGAAAACTCCTTGTCCTTTTTCCCACGGGATTCTTCATTTGAAATTAAATATTAAATGAAATAAAGTTGAACGAGCTCTTTAAACCGGCGCCCGAGACCCAAATCGACGCAGTCGATGAGCGGCTTCCGTGGCCCCCCTGCAGCAGAGTTGCCAGCAGCTTTCCGCGCAACTTGGGTCTTTTTTTCGCGCAATTTCCCGAAAAGTTGTTTTGTTTATTGGTTTAAAAGCTTTTAATTGAGGCGGGAGACTGCAGGTTTATTTGAAGTGCTTCTTCCGGAGTTTGCAGGGCCGGCTAGCTAAGCAGTCCCACGCTGTCCTTGGCGAAGAACTTGAACAGGCTTGGAGCGGAGTCGCTACAGTTCATTTCCCTCGAATTCAAGTGTCCTTTCCTTTTCTTTTCTTTCCCATTTCTTTTCTTTTCCTTTTCTTTTCGTTTCTTTTCCTTTTTCTCTCCAATTCAACTTCGGGATTCCCCAGCCGCGAGCGCCCCCAGCATCTCGCGGCTCGGCCCCGTTGCTTTCCGCCCAAGAGAATTTACATTTTTGAATCTTACATTTTCAGCTTTTCCTTTTCTTTTTAATTATTCCCCAGGCCCCGCGCTGCTGCTGCTGCTGCTGCCGCTGCTGCTGCTGCCGCTGCTGCTGCTGCGTCAGCTCACACTCCTAGCTGCTCCTGCGGACTCCCGCGCACTCCTGACTTCCTTTCTCCCTTTTCTTTATTCCCGCCCTTGAGGTGTACATACACCGCAGAAGCCCGCGAGGGACTTGCTGCTGCAGTGTGCAGAAGCATCAGCAGAGGCGAAGCAGCGCGGTGTGTCTTGTCGGCGGCCGGCTTGCTGCTGCTGCTGCTGCTCAGCTGCTGCTGCTGCTGCTGCATTTTAGCCGGCGCAAAATGCGGCGGACAGAGCCCGCTGGGGGGGGCCCCCGCGGCCGCCAGGGCCCCCTGCTGCCGCGCTTGCTGCTGCCGCTGCTGCTGCTGCTCTGCTGCAGCAGCAGCTTGCTGCTGCCCGTCGCCGCCGACTTGCCTATTCATGCAACAATTAAAGACATGAAGGGCCACTGGTGAGGACAAAAAAATTAAAGAATTCAAAAGACCCCACAAGTGGCAGAGCCTGAGATGCTGCTGCTGCAGCTGCAGCAGCTGCTGCAGCTGCTGCAGCTGCTGCAGATGCTGCAGCTGTGCTGTTGAGTCTGCACGCACTTGCGCCTGTGTACGTACACCTGGAATAAGTATCTCTTAAACCAGAGCAGCAAATGAAATAAGAATGAAATTGAAAATGCATGCACATCAAAATGCAACACACCACTACTGGGGTGTACAGACACCGGACTTAGTACACTGTACTCAGGACTAAACGTGCTTTTTCTTTAATATTTTGCCATTTTTTAAGTTCTTTTTTTCTTTTTCCTTTATTCAAAAGGACCTTTTTGCTCACCCCTCCAGTGACGGGAGCCATTCAATCTTGTGGCTCGGGGGCCCCCAACAAAAACACAGAAAATCTGGAGGCCCCTGTTGCGGACTCGAGGACTTACTTGAGTCGACACGGAGGTGAGACTTTTTGTCAACTTTTTGGGGTTTTGTTCATCAGAAAGAACAGCTTTTGCCAATTATTAAAAGGGTTTTTCTCTTTTATTAAGAGCAGCTCTTGCCAATTATTAAAAGGGTTTTTCTTGTTTATTAAGAGCAGCTTTTGCCGGTTATTTGAAGGGCCTTTGTTATTCTTAAGGAGCAGCTTTTGCTGACTTCTGTGGGGCTTTTGTTGTTTAAAAGGAGCAGCTTATGCCAATTGTTGGAAAGCTTTCTGTTAATTAAAAAGGGCTTTTTTGGGCATTGTTGGAAGGGTTTTTACTAATCAAAAAGAGCAGCTTTGTGGCAGTCAGCAGCAGCGGAAGTGTCTCGGGCCAAGTGCAGCAAGTGCAGCAGAAAAGGCATCTAGCTGAAAAATGAATTTGAATTGGCAGCAGCTGAGCGAATGTTGTGACGACTTTAGCAGCAATTGGAGAGAAAATGGAATTAAAATGATAAAAGGAAAAGAAATGAAATAGTTTGGGGAATATTGGGAAGAAAGAGGAAAGAAAACCGGTGTTTTCAGCTGCAGCAGCAGCAGCAGCTGAGCAGCAGCGAAGTGTGCGGCTGCGGTGCGCGCTTCAGGTGTATCGACAGCTCTGGAGCTGGAACTGAGCGACGAAACTGTTCCTCTTAATTGGGTTTATGACACAAAAGATAATTTGCATCGAAATGAATGGAAAATGTTGGCAGTAAAGGACAAAGAAAAGAAAGTTGTGGGGGGCTGGACTGCGGTGTACGACGAGGGTGGGTGCAGGGCTTTTCGGAAAGTCTTGAAAAAGGGATTTTGAAAAGAATTGAAAGGCGTTTTTGAAAATTTAAAAAGATATTTGAATTTAAAATTAAAATCGAATTTAATGAGCTCCTAATTGTTCAGAAGATCGCAGAATTGAGGGCAGTTCAATTCCATTTCGAAAACTTTCCACTTTTGCATGCGCCGCTTCGTGTGTACGTACACCAGGATTCGAAGTACACCTCACAAACAAAACTCGACTTTTCGCCATTTTAAAATATTCTGTAAAACAAAATTGTCCAGAGGCAAAAGATGGAGATCTTGAAGACTCTAATGGAGAGACAGTTTGCTATTCTACAGATCCTTCTAAAACTCAATTAGGTTTGTTTTTATTTGCAGTTTATTTCCTTTTATTTTTGCAATTTGTTTGTTTTCCCCTCTTGCAGTTTATTTTTTTTATTCCTTTTTTAGTTCATTTGTTTTCTTCTTTTTGCATTTATTTCATTTCTTCTTTTGCAATTTACTTCTTTTCCTACTTTTGCATTTTTTTTTCTTTTGCAATTCATTATTTTCTTATTTGTGCAGCTTATTTGCTGTTCTTCTTCTGGAATTTATTTCTTTTATTCTTTTTTGAAATTTATTTGTTTTCTTCTTTTGCAATTTATTTCTTTATTTAATTTTTTGCAATTTATTTGTTTTTTCTTTTTTCAATTTATTTTTCTTCTTTTCCCGAATTGGAATTGAATTGCAGCATGTGCAGGTCTTTCTGTTTGGAATATTCACAAGTTTCGAAAATAACTTTTTGAAATAAATGTTATTTAATTCAAAAACGATTTAGTCTTAATTTGCATGCACGCATAATTTGCATGCATGCACAATTTGCATGCATGCATTTCGAGTTTGCTGCTGCTCAGGGTGGTACTCTTCAACTGCAGCAGATGGCTCTGTTGCTTCTGGATGTTTTTTCGGGGAAAAAGAAGAAAAAGATTCTGCTGCTGCTGCTGCTGCCTTTGTGGTCTTGCACCAAAGAGCAGCAGCAGCGCAGCAGCAGGAAGCAGCAGCAGCAGCAGCAGGGGGAGCGCAGGAGCTGAGCTACTTTCTCAGCGAAGACTTCGTGCTGCAGCACAACAGCAAAAAGAGTTCTTGGATTGCTGCAGTCAATTCTTCTTTTGCAAATCAAAATAAAAACTTTCTCAATTCACTTTTGAAACAATTCCAATCTTCTCCCCGCCTCCTGGGTAATCCATCCGCTGCTGCTGCTACTGCTGCTACTGCTGCTGCTGCTGCTGCTACTGCTGCTGCTGCTGCTGCTGCACTTGGAAGCTTCTGTTTTATTAAATTGCATTTACTAAATACCTAAATTTATAATTTTAATCATTTAAAATGTATTTGATGAAATGTATAATTACATTATGTAGTTCGTGAGTGAAGTGCTCTAATTAAATGCGAGAAATAAAGACAAAAACAAATAAATAAATAAATAATTCAACTGCGAAATGCATAGTAAACATATTATGTATATAATATGTATTTATAAATAAATGTATTTTATAAAATAAAAATATAAAATGTAGAGTGTGAAATGTCTGGTTTGTGATATTTGTATTTGTCCCATTTAAATCCAATTTTAATGTTTTGTATTTGCTGCGCATGCAATATACATTTGTAATGCACATAATGTACGTATTTATATTTAATATGTATTCGCTGCTGCTGCTGCTGCTGCTGCATGCAGGCAGCAGCGAAGGGGGTCCTGTGTTTCTGGAGGAAGCTGCAGAAGATGCTGCTTCTACCCAAGCTTTTGCATGCCCTTGTAAAGAAGGTAATTTGGGAAAATAAATAAAGTTTCTTTTATTCCAAAATAAAGGATTGAAGGCCTCAAAGGACATTAGAACACTTATTTTGCTTGCTGCAAGCCTGCTGCTGCTGCTGGTGCTGCTGCTGCGCAGGCGAAAAGGCCCTCGACACCCGCAGCAAATCTGCTGCTGCTGCTGCTGCTGTTTTATCCCCCGTCAGCTTGGCCCAAGAAGAAAGCAAAGCAAAGACCAAAACCGTGCCCGTCAAAGCCCACTCCCAGCAGCAGCAGCAGCAGCAGTAGCAGCAGCAGCAGCAGCAGTAGCAGCAGTAGCAGCAGCAGCGGATGGATTCCCCCGGAGGCGGGGAGAAGATTGGAATTGTTTCAAAAGTGAATTGAGACACCTTTTTTTGATTTGCAAAAGAAGAATTGACTGCAGCAATCCAAGATCTCTTTTTGCTGT